AAGAAAAAACTTTGAGTTGATGTGAGTCATAATCATAATATATCTTTACCAATGGATAGACCTAAAAGAGCAAAGACTGGGAATAAGAAAACCAAAACAGAATGTCTAAAGCATGTCATAACGTTTTCATTCAACCTTCTAAATTGCCCTTTTGGTATTTCATTATATATATGGGCACCTACTTTTCTTTTGATTGCATATGTCCTTAATAGGCCAGATTTCATTAAGAATAGAAGTTTAAAATTCAAAGCCTACAGGTATCAATGGGTATTGGGATTAAGTGATGGATGCTGGCAATTTTAAATCATATTCTCTTAATAGACATACTTTGTATATGAAATATCAAGGACTATTATTTATTCTTACAAAGCACATTATTTTTTTTCACATCAGTGTGGCCCTGTCAGTCTGTTTTTTATTTTGCCATTTTTTTTGGATAGACACCCAATATAAGCAGTATTATATTTTTGTCATCACATTTAAACCATATCCCTGATGGCAACATTGCTACTCAAGGCCAGTCTATTACTACCATGCTTAGAAAAAAACTAAATTAGAAATCTAGATTTTTATGTGAATCTAATTGACTTGTAGAAGTTGGCGACTAATTTAAAAATTCTTAAGCATTGTGTAGGCCAACAACCAGTATGCAAGCTGTTTCTGGCCCATAGGTTGCCAATCTGCAACCTCTGGTTTAAACTCTAAACTTGTAAAGGCAGCCTTTATTTAAGTCTAAGTTTAAACTCTAAGCTTCTAAAGTAGCCTTTAGCTTATTGAGGAATGATCCTCATTTTCTGTTACCTTCCTGTCAATGGAAAGTTTTACAATCAATATTTTAAAATTTGGGTCAAATATCACAACCACAATTTTTTACAAGCAATTTGACATAATTATTGTCACTATTTCATAGGTGAGAAAAGGGATGCTTAGAAAAATTACATAATTTCCCCTAATATCACAAAGAAAAAAGCTTGTACATTCTAAAAACAAATCTTTTTTGTATACTTTCCAAACACCCTCTGTTATGACTAAATTGTGTTATGACTATAATTGTGTCTCCTCCGCAAATTCCTATGTTGAAGTCCTTAGTCCCAATGTGACTGCATTTGGAGACTGGGCCTTTAAAGGGGTAATTAAAGTTAAATGAGATCATAAGAATGGGGTTTTAATTCAATAGGACTGGTATCCTTATAAAAAGAGGAAGACACACCTTATAAAAAGAGATGTAAGCAAAGAAAAAAACTGTATAAGGATACGGCTAGAAGGCAGCTATCTGCAAGCCAAGGAGAGAGGCCTTAGGAGAAACTAACCCTGGTGGAACCTTGATCTTGGACAGCCAGCCTCCAGAAATGTGAGAAAACAAATTTTTGTTTAAATCACCCATTCTGCAGCCAACTTAATTTATTTGCCAACTGTTAAGGAACAGTGGTAACCATGTCATCCACACCACTGGTCATAGAGTATGGGTCACATAAGTATTTGTTGACCAAATAATTCATGTCAGATTTCTCTCTCCAGATTTTGGTGTCTCTTTTGAAGTATAGAATCAACAGGAGGGAATTGTTAATGTAAATACAAATGCCATGTAATAGAAGGCCTTCTGAGATGTCTTGATTATTGTTGTGCTGCAGTAATTTTGAAGTAATGGGATGTATTAATTTGCTAGGGCTACCATTACAACATAGAAATATGTTTATGTTCTAGGGCTCCAGGCACCAGGAGCTCCATCCTCATCAGGGACCTTGTTAAAAAATGCAGACTTGGACTCATTCTCAATCTGTATAATCACAATCTACATTTCAATATGCTTCCCAGGTGATTCCTATGCACGTTAAATTTCAAGAAACATGGTTCTACAACACAGTTCTTAAGTTGGGTCCTAGGGGTAAAATGAATTCCATAAACTCCCTGAAATTTCATGCAAAAGTTTTTGTGACAGCATATATGTACATTTTACCGGGAAATGACTCCATATATTTTTACCAAACTTTCAAAGTAATACATGACCCCAAACAGATTAAGAATGACTGCCACACAGGATTCTATGCCACGGTTACCATGCTTACAGATTAAAAGTCACAATATTCCAAAAACTATGCTGTTCTCAATGAGGTCTGTTGAAGAATGACAAGAATGAAGGTCAGAACGTCACAGTGGGTCACGAAAGACCTTATCTGAAGAATTTATTCACACCATGCAAGAACTATGCCAAGAAACCAGTTTGGAAACATCTAAATAAATAATTCTCTACATGAGGTTTGAGATTAAGAATGTGCACTTGAAGAAGATTCAAACTGAGAAGTAAATAAATATAAGGTAGAATTTTTTTAAGATAGAATGCCATTAGATGACAGTGAAGTGCCAAATTTTTGTTTTAAGAGCTCAATCAGCAAATCTTTAATATGAATTGTTTGATTTGAGATATGGAACCATTTAAAAATATTAACTTCCAAGTACATTCTTACAGTACTACTTTTATGAGAAACCTCCCACACATTTTACTAGTCTCATTTTCTTCATCTTCTCTGGACCTCACAGGACAAGGCAAAGAAGGAGCATGGCACAGAAATTAAAAGGAACTTACCCAGGATCTTCAATGGGTCCATTATAAAGATTGGTTTCCTTTTATATATCACAGTTTCAATGATATATAAGAACTGTGTATATATTTTATTTTTTATCTTATCATCTAACCATCTCTTCAGGTACTGTACGATCCAAGGGCACAGACTATGTCTAACTCATAAGCCACAGTATCTGGCAGAATTTCATCTTCTTCATGGGCATGCAAAATGTAGGTTAAAGGAGTTAGTTGGTGCTTCTTCTTGAGACTGATGCTTTATTGTGCTACTACTGTGACTGATCATCTGTGATGGAATCTAACATCTGAAAGTTTGTCCTCCAGGGTGAATCCACATCCTAACACACCAGTCATTCCAGGCAAGTAGGGAGAATGTTAGAAAATATTCAGGGGAATAAAGTCCCCTCTATCTCTTTCTATCTCCATGAGTCATTAGGCCAACAGTTGGTTCATTTTAGTTTAAAGTGGTCCAATAGATAACACTCAAAAGACTTTTCTTAGCTCTATTAAGAGCTAGTAAGAGTTCTTGCAATCCATGTGCAGTAGGGATAGGATGAAACTTTCAAGCTTTGTTAACTATTAATGTACTTCATTTACATAATAAACATATGCTAGTAAAATATAAACTTTAAAAATGATAAATAAAATTATTCACTTAAATAGCAGAAGTGTGTCCCCTCAATAATGAACCTTATATAAAAGAATGTAGTTTACAGCCAAGCATGGTGGCTCACGCCTGTAATCCCAGCACTTTAGGAGTCCGAGGTGGGTGGATCACGAAGTCAGGAGATCGAGGCCATCCTGGCTAACACAGTGAAACCCCATCTCCACTAAAAAATACAAAAAATTAGCTGGGCATGGTGACGGGCGCCTGTAGTCTCAACTTCTGGGTAGGCTGAGGCAGGAGAATGGCATGAACCCAGGAGGCAGAGCTTGCAGTGAGCCGAGATCAAGCCACTGCATTCCAGCCTGGGCAACGGAGTGAGACTCTGTCTCAAAAAAAAAATAAATTTAATTAAATTTAATTTAATTTTTAAAAAAAGAATGCAGTAGTTTACATTCTTATGATAGCTCCTGAGATGTTCTATCAAACTTAAATGCTAAGGTTGTAGACATAAAAATAATATCTTTATTTGTTTTTCAGCTCAAACAGTAACAGTTTAAACATTGCCAATTCACCTTTTGAAGTCAAAGAGGAATAATAATAGAGGCAGGCATAATGACAATAGAGATATATAACAGAAGTCAGCAAGGAAGAGTAATGAAGATAGAACAGAAACCAATGTTTCCTCATCACCCTTTAAGGAGCAAGGATTTGTGAAATCCTATAGGGTAGAGACTACCGCCTCTACTTAATAGGTGAAGACACTCAGCTTAACGATTAAACAGTTTATCCAAGATTACAAAATTAGGACAAGTTTTGGGAAAGAGATAAAAGCAAGAGAGTAGTAACGGTGTAACAGGAGACAAGTACGGGGAAGAAGTAGTGAATCCAGTTTGATCTGGAGAAAGGAAGCAAGCACTTAAAAAAAAGGCTACTGACTACAGGAGTAAATGATTCCTTACACATGTCAGTGGCCATTTTAAAAGTAAATGATATGATTATAAAGAATTTTTTAAAACTTAAATGGCAGAACCAGGATTTGAACACTGTCTGACTCTAAAGCTCATGCTCCTAAACACTACACTCACAAAGAGACATCCAGTTAATGCAAATGATAAATATTTACAAAAAAAAATTTAACAGGAAATCTCAAAGGTCATAATAGTTTTATTTTTAAAAACACATTAAACATCCTTCTAACAACAAAGAAAGATATAAAAATATGTACTAGTTAAGGCACTTAATCTTATTCTTCCCTGACAGTGACCCAGAACTAATCTATGAGGTTATGAATATGTCACAAAATTCCCAGTTACTCTGTAATCACTCATATGTTTATTTCCTCCAGAAATGCACTCTCAACTTTCTGGAATCTTTGTGTATTTTCCATCTGAGCCATTTCTCAAGGTAAAGAATCTATTTGTTCACTCCCCAGCTTTTGAAGTAACATTTTTTTGTCTGTCTCCAGTAACTGTTGCAGTTTCAGCCGAGGTCACCTAGACCTTCTGTCTCTAGGTAGGTAAACTCTACTCTTCCCTTAATGTAGTTCCCAGTCAGTACAGAATTTAAAAACCCTGAAACTTTTCAAAATAGAGGAGTGAATTTAAAATTTAAATTCTTGAAAAAGAATCAGGATCTAAATTATCTTAGTGTATCTTCAATTTCCTTATATTGAGTCTTATTTGTATTCAAAATGGTACTTAATATCCAGAAGATCATATAAACTACATTATATGGATAAACTCTTCATCACATCTCAAACATACTATTTAAGCTTAAAAATAGTCTCACTTCCCCGCATCAAATGTTAGTTACCTCTTCATCATCTTCCTCGTCTTCAACATCCAGAATTCCTGAATCCTGTTCAGACTTAGGACTAGTGCTTTCTATCTCTGTATCAAAGATTATATATGCATCTTTCTTAGATTTCCTCTTGCTACCTATTCTGGGTTGTTGCAAGACGATGTTATCCAGGTTTCTTTGCTGCTGGGCCTAGGATAGAGAAGAACACACAAACACACCAAAAAGGTGGGGGTAAGGAGAGAGAAAGAAAGAAAAAAGAAACAAAACTTAATTAAGCTTTCCACAAACTTCTAATTTTGAACAAATTGATATCTTAAAGAAAATACTACAACAAAAGGCCTTAGTACATAAAGTTTTAGTATCAGATATAAAGCCAAACACATTAATGTATACCTTTTTAACCCTGGAGCTATCGTATTTTAACTCATTTTCCAAGTTAACACAGAAAACAGATAACCAGTCAATATTATCATAAGACTTTTCAAATATATCCATTAAATCATCACAAAAAGAAATCTATCCAGTTTTGCCTTAGTAGGCCAGGAGATTAGTGCCTACTATTTATCTATGACAAGAAAATACCATATTGAGACCATAATGGTTGAAGGAAAAGGGTGGGAGCTTAGAATTAATTTTAATACATTTAGGCTTAAGATACTGTTAAAAACAGTTATGTGGATATAAGAGACCAATGAAATATAATCAGGAGAATGAATTATCTTCAGAAAGTGATTTGAACTAAGTAATTGAATAGGATTCCATGACTGTGATCTGTGGAAAGCAGGGTTTTAAAGGGTTTTTTCTTCTGAACCCCAGAAAAGGTAGTGTAATCCCTTCAGCTTAAAAAAAAAAATAGACTGATATGGTGGCATGGTTTCAATAGATACAGAGAGGTAGAAAGTGGGACTATCCAGAGTCAACAACAGAAGCATTAAACCACATTAAACCACATTAAACCACATTAGAGCTAGAAGTTACCTTAATTGCCACTCAGGAAAATGAGGCTAGAAAACAAAGGATTTGTTTGAAGTCACAAGGCAAGTGAGTGGTAAATCAGAAGCTCAAAGTATGGTCTCCTAAATTTCAAATTAGTGACATTTCCACTACACCAACAGTCCCTCAAAGCATGATCAAAATGTTACCCAAAAATGAGTTGTGGTCAAATCAACAGGAAACACTGCATCCCATAAGCCCTCTTACAGATACGCAATGCACACTAACAGAACAAAAGCTGGGAGAGGTCCTATTTTAAATAAACTTATTTAATTTGGTTTAATCCAGCATGTTCCAAAAACATTTCCCAAGGGAACTTTCCTTTTTTCTTTCTTTTAATGTAATATTTGGTATTAACCCAAGATATAAAGCTTAAGAATGTGACTTCTGAAAGTATACATTTCTTAATCAATATCAGATATTTCTCCTCAGTGGCAAATAGAAATTAGTTCAGGAGAAAAATCAGTCTCCAATCTTCTGTATAAGGTTAATGAAATGAAGATAAATATAAAGTATAAGAAGTTAGTCCAGGCATAGTGAAATGAGACAATTATAACAAGGCAGAGAAAAACTTCAACTATGTGAACTAGTTTCTGCCAAGAAAATGAAAAGAATCTACATTCCAGAGATTTGAATCAATGGACATACTTGTTTCTCTGCATATCACCCATTGATATTTTGGTTAGATTTACATAAATACATGGCTTCAGTAACAAACTGAGATCGAGAAGTACCCCAAATCATTTAATTTAGGTTTGTACATAAGACACAATATCCTCCAAGCCTTCCAGAAACCAAGTTAAATAGAATATTCTATTTTTCTCAAAAGTAAGATGTTCTTCCCCACTTACTTCCAATGCAAAATATACAAAAAGGGATCAAGGACTCCAGGGGCACAAAGGAAGGTACAACTTTCTTTAAAACTTTCATATTTTAAAAAAGCAAGCTCTCACCTAGAGAGTGATCATTTGCTCGCTTAACTCTATCCTCTTTCAGTACAGCAAAACCAAACGCTTTCATAAGTAACTCATATTTTATTGAATCCCAAGTTAATTATATTTCCTTCATAATCAATAAAATATTGTCAGTGTTTCAAAAGCAATGAACAAATGAAAGTTATCATCTATTCAAAATGTATGTTATGGTACTGGCAAGAGGTGGTGAAGACTAAATACTGATATAAATACATAACTACATATAATATATATAAAAATGAAAATATGACATTGAAGTCCATGAAAATCAAAAAAAGAAAAAGCCCTTCAGAGATCTTTTCTAATATGCTATGCTGTTTCATCAAGACCATTGATTCTATTCTATCCCTCCAGAGACAACCATTATAATAACGTGGCAAAGAAGCAGCTGACTGACTTCTGCTGACTGGGCTGGAGTAGAGGGAGAGGGGTACAAGGAATACTAACAGCAACTAGATCTGAGAAAGCATTTAGGTGTTTTCATTTTCTTAGTTGTTCATTCTATTTGTAAGTAATTTTTACACACTTTACCACCTCTTTCTCAAGAGCACTTCATATATATTCTTCTCTGATTTCCTAATATAGAGAAATTGAGCAAGGTTTATTCCTCAAACCCTTATCCCTCAAACCACTCTTTCTACTCTCCTAAAATCCAGTAGCACATGTCCCGTTTCCTACTACTAATGTGTGTTCCACCATCGCCTTATTTCCATCGTACCTAAAATGGAACTCATCACCTTCCTATTACAATCCCCCTACCTAATGCATCCAGGCTCTTCTTAAACCACATTTGTTCTCATGTCAATTAGATATAAGGGAAATTGAGGCAGGGGCAGAGGGATTTAAACAAGTTTAAACTTCATAATCTATCACTTAGATTCCACCATAATGGAAGCTAAACCTAATTTTCCAATGTACTTACCCAATATCCTCCAAGATGAATCTTCCAATTGGGTGAGACTCTACCTCCTAATACGCTGGGTAAATTTCCACTTCTATATCCTTAGTTATGCCATTTCTCTACCTGATTACCTTTCGTTGCCTCAATCTAACCCTTCCTACAAAACCCAAGTAAGATTCTTCTTCCTTTAGAAAGCCATTTCTCACTGCTCTAACTCATGATGTTTTCTTTCTGTACTCCTACCTTCAGTCAAACACGTGTTAAATGTCCACATGGTACCAAGCATTGTGTTGCACACTGGTGATACAAATAAATAAGATGGAGACCCTGACCCCTGAATCTCACATCATACTATTACAGGAAGCAAATCAATAAATAAAAGATAAATATGCTTTTTCAGAGATAAATGGAAAGAGTAACCATTCCAGAAGAATGAAGCAGCATGAGAAAGGACTATGTATGAAAAAAATATTATCCCCTCAGGAAACGGCAAGTAACTTTGTATAATTAGACTATAGTTTATAAAGCAGTAAGAGGAGATAAAGTTAAAGATGCTATATAAAGCATTTTCAATGTTAGAGAAACAATAAAAGAATGTAAGCAGGCAAATAATGGGATCAGCTTTACAATTCAGACAAACCCTCAAGAAGTAGGGGAGTGGTCAACTGAGAAAAGACAAAGACTGGAAACAGGAAATCTAATATAGATCACTAAAACAGTCCAAATAACATTATGAGAACTTGAATAAAGGTAGCACCAGATTATAAGAAGCAAAAGTAACAGAATTAACTGACTTAAATGTGGTACATGGAAGAGAAGAAGGAAATAAGAATAACTCCAAGTATTCTGGCCTTGATGACTAGACAGTAGGGCCATTCCAAGCAATAGGAACCATGAAAATAGTAAGTTGAATGCAGGATAAAAAAAAGATGAGTGCCATAAACCTGTTGAGTATCCAGGTGAAAATGACAGTCAAGCACCTCAGTGTATATAACTCTTTCAGGATAAGAAAAACACTTCACCATTCTTAGACTGCCCCAAGTCCAGAAAGTGACATACACATAGGAAATTTAGATATTTATTATATAAAAAGAACAAGTAACAAAAGGGAATCCATGTGAAAATGAGATTTGGCCCAGTAAAAATTTATAGAAGACTTTACTTGAGTGCTTTTCTACCCATTAGAAGTTAGGGGAGAACCCAAAAGCATGAGCTAACCTGGACTGTCAAACTAATTCACTATTAACACTTCTAAAACTGTCAAAGTGTGTCTATGAGGCATCTTACACATGCCATTAAATAAACATTTCTTGTGGAATACAACTTTCAGGGCTACCTAGCAATAAGACTCAGAGAATTAAAAATAATAAGAATCAAAAGCTAAAGGCTCCTGACTTTCTCAACCCAATACTGACCTCTAGTGGATTAGAGGCATACATACAAATGACCTTTAGAATAAGAAACTAGTTGAAAGGTTTAGGCTTACAGATTGGAGGCCTTGGAGGCCTAATATAATTATATAGCCTTCAATAACAGGGGAGAAACAAAGCTTCTTGGAGAAAGATAGGTCTTACTCTGCAACTTATTAATTGGGCAGGTTAATTCTCTGTGCAATATCCTTATCTATCTATCTATCTACCTATCTATATAGATTAATCAAACCTACCTCGAAGCGGCCACAAGGCTTAAATGAGAAAATACATGTGAAGTCTCTTAAATTAAAACAAAAAAACAAAAAAGCAAACAAACAAACAAAAAAACTCTACCTATCTTGCCGCTGAAAAAGAAATAGGAATCTTTTTTTTTTTCTTTTTGAGACAGGGTCTCACTGTCACCCAGGCTGGAGTGCAGTGGCACGATATCGGCTCACTGCAACTTCTGCCTCCTGGGTTCAAGCGATTCTCATGCCTCAACCTCCCGAGTAGCTAGGATTACAGGCATGCGCCACCACACCCGGCTCTGTTTTTGTATTTTTAGTAGAGACGTGGTTTCACCATGTTGGCCAGGCTGGTCTCAAACTCCTGACCTCAAATGATGCACCCACCCCGGCCTCCCAAAGTGCTGTGATTACAGGCGTGAGCCACCGCACCCAGCCAGGAATCTTGTTTCACTATCTACTATGGAAACATCTGAAACCCAGCAATATTTCTATACATAATAATTAATGCACCTAATATCACTGTATAACAAATTTTGCATTTACATATATTTCAAGTATTATGTTTCTGTAATGGACACAATTAGTGCTTCACTTAAATCCTCTGTTTCATCTCTTATTCCAGCTACCATCAGCAACCAGTTCTGAACAGGCCTGGAAGCAT